GTTAAAATTTATGAAAAAAAAGCCAACTTCAAATAACTTCCATAATTAAGATCTCAAACTTCATAATTCTAAACATGTGGCCTTCGGGACACATTAGCCATTTAACTGAAAGCCAGCTTGTACCAGTCCAAGGATTTGGACAAAAGAATGAATTTGATCTGCAGAAGCAGGATGCTACACTGGATATTATCATCTGTAATCCATATTAATTACTTTCTATTATGTGCCTTCTCATAAGATGCAAAGGTGTGCCTTAAGAAAGATGCAACAGAACTTTCAGGACTGAACAGTAGCAAGTCAAATGACTAAAACACTTTCCCCTTTCACACCCATACTTGTAAAAAAAGAGATAGTGGACTATGGGCAAGAAAACACGGTGGAAAACCAGCTGTAACCACAGTACAAATATTGTAAATTTTCTGCAATGAATTGTCATCTTTACAGAAATACCAAAAAAGTTACAAATATATAAATATTAATTGCATTAATCCAAGTTTGGAATTCTTCAATTTCCAGATATAAATGGAAGATGAATTTCATTAAAGTTATTGAGCTGAAATTATTCCCAGATGTGAATAGCTGGGGTATTTTTGAACATGCAGTTGCTAAACCAGCAAGTATTAATACTATTTTAGGTATATTTTTGATAGGAAAGACAAAAGTCATAGAAGATTTGTTTTAGGCCATAATGGAAGCTATTGAGATCACAAACCAAGTCAATGAAAATTACACAGAAGGATAAAAACAAATCTGAAACTAAAGCTCTTAATTTCAAAAAGAGGAAATTATAAATGAGGGGGAATAAAACCATATGCATATAAAAATAGTAAAGAAATCAAATTTAAGTTAAATGTGCAAAACCGAAAACTTTTATCTCAAGTTAGCTCTTCAGCAAATTGCTGGGAATATGTAAGTATAAGTGAGCTCAAAAGAGGTTTTTCATACCAAGTACTTTAATTTAACATTACAAAGTTGTCTTTGCTTCAACAAGTTACTCCAGAGCCTGTTTCTCTTCTTGCTCTCAACTCCACTGCACAAATGCAGCTCCTGTATATGGTAGTGAGTCCTTCTGTTCAAGATTAGCTATATGCCATATTCATTTTAGGTGTTTCACAAATACAATATATTCTGTAGAGAGTCATGAACATTCGAAGATAATAGATTTAAAATATAATAATTTAAAACACAGTTTGCATTTGAATATATCTTCATAATAGAATGGACATTGGTTATATTCTGGAGAAAGAAAGCCTGCTGGACATCTAACTAAAAGGCTACATACTGGGATAAAAGTGTAATACATTCATACTAATATTATAGTATATCTCTGAAGGCATTTTAATTATTTTCTACCTAAAAATGTGTTTAGTTAAATCTGTATCACTTTAGTTTACCTCCACTTTGTAATAATATTTTTCTTAAAAATTACAAACTACTGATATTTAGCAACACAATATCTATTACCTCAGATTTTAAAAATGAAGTACAGTTATGATTTTAAAAGTTTAAGGGTCTCTGGAAAGTTTGTGATATTTAAAAATATTAAGCCAATCAATTGGAATATGTCAGAAAAAATAAAACTTAAAGCTCTCATCTCTGTTTCATTTTAACCACAGGAAATTAGAAAAAACAGCTAATTAGTCTACATAAGTATTTATACTCAATTTATATACAAAAACTATATAAATAAAGCCAAAGAAGACCTTCCACTAATACATCAACTGTTCGTAATTCCATGGGGTTTAAGTTTCTCTGGCCGATGTCCTATAATCTGTAAGAGTAGCTGTTTCCTCACCTAACAGATGACAAATTAATATGTTAGTCATGCCTGATTAAACCAGCTTAATATTTTTGGAAACAAAGGAAAAAAAAAGGTTCAAAAGCTAAAATACAGTACACAGACTTACCACAAATAATTTCTGAGAAATACCACACTGGAAATCGAAGCAAAAAATCTCAAGAGATAACTTTGAAACCAACCGAGATTCTTTCCATGCTAAGCATTGTCAACAGATATTTTTCATATACTTTTAAGTACCACAACATTACATAAACTTTAGAAATATGCAAATGATTAATACAATAGAAAGTCTGAGACAACAAAATCCCATTAGTAACCAAAAACATTAAGGGAGTGGGTTGGGAAACATTCCTTGCACATTATTCTATCAAGCTGGAAACACTATGTTCTGAGAGTACACAAAGACATTATAATTAATGTTACATAAAAACCTTGTATAGTAACAGCCCAAACACTATTGGCTGAATCCTGCACTGTTAAAGGTAATAACAAATCTAACAGGTAAGAGGATCAAGCTGTAACATAAAACCACCTGCCTCCACTAGAGCTGGCAACTAAAGACGCTGAGTTCCAAAATTCGCCTCTTTTCGCATGCCATTTTGACAGCTTCTCTGTGAAGCCACACACTTCCTAGGTACTGATAAATGGAAACAATCTCTTTATAGTACTTCATGAATAACTGCTCTAGTACAGAATGAGAAGAAAAACGTTCATTTCTTACTGCACATATAGATTATTACGTATGGAATATTTTAAAGATAACTCTGTTAAAGCTTGTTATAGACTACCTCTATTTTCCCAAAAGAAACAGGTTGTCTATAGAAAGTTTTCTGAGGTTCTGGCACTGCTTTATTATTTTCTGTTATTTTTTTCCCTACAGTAGCTGTATAGTAGGATAAATTACAGCAGTTCTTATGAAAAGAACCCACAACAAATATCAAATAAAAACCACATTACCCTGAGGATGGACTAAGCAAACACAAACCCTTCTATCACCTCTGGGATAACAGTCCCAACTGAATGCCCTAGATTAAATTATTCTGATATTTTGAAATGTGTTGGTTTGAGGATTCCCAAAGGGCAGAGGCAACATGTATAAAAAAATAAGAAACTCATCTGTCTTTCAGCTAAGAAAAAACCCTTCTTTTTCTGTACTTCCCTCTATATTTATGCATGAGGTTATTTTAACTTGGCAAACTGGGTATCACTGTCAAGGTAATCTATTAAAGCTGTCTTTTAACCTAACCTATGTTTGGTTGGGAAAAATAAATTTCCACTCTAATTTGTGGTAAGGCAACAAAGTACCAGAATTTAAGAGTTCCAAGCAGGAAAAGTCATTTGACATTAAGAACTTGGCCACCATTACAAATCTCTTAAAATATTTCCCAAACAGTTATTTCACTGTGAACTGCCATGTGAATATTTTAATTCTAAATGAAAAAAATGCCTTTACATAACTTAGTTTGGTAAAAATGTAGTATATTCATACATTTATAGGAGAGAAATCTCCTTCCAAAAAAGACTCTTCAGATACGAGCTCATAGATAAATAAGTTACACAGTAATAACTGTTTTAGTTATGATACAAGGATAATTTTTGCTTGAATTGATGAATAATACCAAATAATAGGCTATGACACATCCAGAAATGAAAAAAAACCTGAAATCACACTCAAAACTTCACAACTCTGACCACATATTTTGTTTTAGCCTGATTTCTGATTTCACTATTGGTGCCTTATGGTTTCTCTGGCTGAAGTGTGTATGAGCAGTTTTCTGCAGAAAATCAGTAGGAATAGTAGAAAACCAGTAAGCAAATCAATAGCTACTTCCCATATAAACTTCTTGAAGTAAAATAACACAAAGACATGACTATGACAGCCCCTATGAAGAAAGTAATCCTGAGAATTAAATTATATTAATGAACAGCAATTCTTAACACATTTTATGGGGGCTAAAGAGACAGCTGCTGCATCTGAAATCTGACATTTAATGAATTTTCAATAAAAATTAAAATCTGGTCTAATATTTATGAAATACAGAAATTATATTTTAATTAACTGCAGAAAATGTTTTAAAGTTTTAAAGCAAGCAAGTCCTAAGATTTACTGTTTGTTTTCACCTTCCTCTGTGCTTTTGACTATACCAAAGAAATGTGCACTGGAAATCTGTACTGATAGATGTACTGGCACAAAAACATGCTAAGTCACATCCTGTGGCAAAAAAAAATGTAGGCAGAGGAAATACTCTATTAATAGATTGAATGACTGTTTTCTTCCATCTTATAATACAGAGGTAAAGTACGATTTTTCAGAGAGACATGTTTGTGATCACTTTAAACTCCATGCTTTAGATGTAAAATGGAGATAATTGAACTTCCCCATCTTTGTGAGCTGTTTTGAGACTGAAAGAAAAATTAAGTTACAAACTTCTGTTAACTCCAGGCAATTTTTTTTGTCAGTGAATTGTTTCACTGACTCACGTCTCACAATGTAATCCAAAACCACATTTCTTGTTATTTCACATCTCATCAGTACTCTGACACTACTTCTTTTCATTGTTTCCCACCAACACTGCAACCCAGTAGTATATACACTATATTACATTTCTTGAAATAAGCAAAAATGACCAGGCAGTATTAACTTGAACTTACTGTACTTTCACAAGACTAGAAAGTGTAAGTGCATTTTCTGTTTGTTTCTTAGTCTGAGAATTAGAATCTGCATAGTAACCTTTTGGGTCAGCTCTGATGTGTATCTGTTTTATGGACTCATTACTGTACAGTATTTCCTATAATCTTTCCTTTATATGTCTGACAATTTAAAAAAAAAAAGTGGGAGTAGAAGACTCAACAGTTTGTGCTTATATAAATCTGGATTAAACAGTTCTTATTCTAGTACATATTTCCGTAGCTGGAATAAAACAGGCTGAAAAAAATTACTATGGCATGACAGTATTATCCAATGGATTATAATAGGATTTTGTTTAATTACATGAGTTACTCTCTCTTACTTTTGCACCACAATTCTGACACGGTCTAGAGTTCAACTGCAGTAATGTGTTTCAAATGTAAAGCTGTAATTACTATTTTCAAGTCTCTCTCTTCACAGAAAATAATCAAGCATATTAAAAAAAAAAAAAAAAAGTAGCATAATTAAAATAACAACTAACTACAGAGAACATAAATTAAGATTACTAACCCACAGCATGAACTCTTCCTCTATGCTTCTTTGAAATCTTGTTTGCTTTAACAATGTGTAGAGCATTTTCTTTGAACTGCAGCTCACAAAGTCTTTCAAGAAGAATTGTCATTTCTTCAGTGATGGTATCCAGGTAAGTTTCGTTAATAAACTTTAATGACGAAGATGGACCAATAGTTCCACTTAGTATATACAAATCTTCTTTTATCATTGTGCACAATCGGGGTATGGAACTTTGGTAACCATGAACCACCTTATCAAAATTTGTTTCACCACAACTAGACAAAATACAGTTTTGTAGAAGATCACTAACCAGTTTATTCTGCATATTTTGATACCTCATTAAGACTTCTGATTTGGGATAAAGAAACAAAAGCTGCTGTACACACTGAGTTTTAAACTCCATTTGTTGTGGCAAAGCATTAGTGTTTGTTTCTTCTTGACTTTGCAGTCTGTTTACTAAAAATTGTCGAAGATGCAATCTCACATCGTCCCAAAGAGATTTCACATCCACAGCTGAATCATCCTGAATGGTATGAAGCGAAGACGTTAACTCAAATGACATCCCACTTGCAGTACAGGGAAATGAGACACCACATTGACTAGAGAGGTCCAGAAGGAAGTGAAGTATCATTTCTTCTTGATTCTTCTCATTCTTCAACAAGCTTTGCTAACAAAGGTAAATCAGACAATACTTTAGAAATTTTTATTAATTCTGGTTCATTAAATGAACAGCTTCATATTAGATTAAAAACAGTTTCCTATACTAATTAATAGGAAGCAAGATATGTAAGCAACTGAAATTATAAAATCCATGGAAAACAGGATTTATAAGCAAATTAATTTTCTTCTCTACCTCTGCCAATAACTCACACTCATCTTCTCATCTTCTTATAACCCTAACCTCTTTTCTCAACCAATTCTAGACCACAGTTCAAAGGAAACCCTTGGTAGCCTTTTTTGTTGTCACAGTATCTTTTAAAGAAAACGGTATGAAAAAATTACTTAAGATTCACACAGAAAATGACAGGTTTTACTCATAAAACCAAGCAAGGAATTTATAAAATGGTCACCTTCTATGGCTCAGCAGGCAATCATCAAAAAGACCATTCTAAGAATAAAAAAGTCTTCCCAGGAGTCCCTTAAAGAACTAAAACTGAAAACTTGTCAAGAATTAAAGAGCCTTAGATGACACAGGACAGAAGAATAAGAAGCTTGTAACCCATCAAAACAAGATGCAGACTGATACATTAGTGACCTCCGTGTACATCTATGCTGTATGGGTTGGAGAAGGCAGTCAGTTAATAAAGCAAGTGAAATCACATGGCTGCTGCTCCTTCTTCATTCAAGTCTGAAGAGCTCTCTCTCAGTCCAGGGCAAGGATCTCTGACCTTAGAGCTGCTTCAGCTTCAAGAGGTCATGCAGCAAATGGCAGCTCCTCTTGCCATAGCTCAATACTACCATCACAAGAAAACCGAGTGGAATTGGTAGTATTCTTGACTTTCTTAGTTTCTATAGGAAAGCCTTAAGTAGATGAGAATCTAGAAACCCTCTCACTTGCTCCTTCATCTCCCACTGCTTCTCTCCAACAGAAACAAGCATTGTGGCAAACCACCTCAGGGGGTTTCATTCCAGTCATGTCCTTTATCTGGGTCTCTGTCATAGTTTCAACCCAGGCAGCAACCAAGCCCCAGGCAGCCACTTGCTCACTCCTGTACCAGCAGGACTGAGGAGAGGACTGGAAGGGTAAAAGCCACAAAACTCATGGGTTGAGAGACAGATTAACAGGTAAAACAAAAGCCGTGCACACAAGTCAAAAACAAGGAATTAAGTCACTGCTTCCAATGGCAGGCAGGTGTTCAACCATCTCCAGGACAGTGCTACTCACCACCAGGTCATAATTTCAGACATACCTATTCTCTTTCTTCCCCATACTTTATATACAGAGCCTGATGCTACATGGTCTGGAATATCTCTTTGTTCAGTTTGGGTCACCTGTCCTGGCTGTGTCTCCTTGCACCCCCATGCACCCCTAACATCCTCACCAGTGTCACAGTATGAACACCAGAAAGGCTCTGTGTAAGCCCGGCTCGGCAATAATAGATATACCTTTATATTGTGCTGTGTGTTCAGCACAAATCCAAAACAAGCCCTGTAATAGACACTAGAAATCAGCACAGTCTGCAAGTCTCCATCCTATAAAGCAAGGCTGATAAAGAAACCTTTGCTATCTTCCACGTTCAGCATTGCTGATTTATTTAACTTACAGTATTTGAAGAAACTATTAGTTTTATTTCTGTTCCCATTTTGAAGGAGAGGTAAATTATTCAAGTTTGAGTATGGTATTGCATAAACATAACCATTTTGGAATGCCAAATACTAAATCTTTCTCCTGTAGCAAGATTTTATCAATAGATGAGTATGCTTTAGAGTAAAAAAAAGTTTTAAATTCAGAACTCCTATTCTTTGTTCTGGATGTTTCAAACCTGTTACATACCTTAGAGGGTTTAAACTTCTTGTTGCCCTCTACTCTGACCAGTTTCTTGAAAAAAAATCCCACTTTCACTACAGTAACTAATTCTGAATAACAAACTGGAAGCTTGATTGCCTCTTATAAAGAAAGTCTTAAGAATAACAGACTACGTATTTTTCTTCCATTTTAGATCTTTTAAAAGAATTCTTATTAATTCTTCTTACTTAACAAGCAGAAAAGATGTGGAAGACAGAATAATAAGGGAAATTATCAGTTGAATATCATCCTACAAAAGCATGTGCATGTAATAGAAATATGTGCAACTGGTTCAAATCTTAAATCATATATATCAAAATGCATAACACTGATCCCATTGTCTTTTATTATCCGCTAAACTACTCTATAAAGTAGAGTAGTTTAGTGGCCCCAAAGAAAAATGTGTTTCAAAGTGTAAACCGAAATCCTGATTACTAACTACTCATTGTGTGGAAAGGTTGTCTCTTAGCAAGTAGACTTCTGGAATTTAAATGTTGGGGGGTTTTTTATGACTCATGCTCAAATACTACATTCTGAAATGTACAAAGCAAGAGAAGTTGTCAAAACCGTGCATGCACCTGATGCCTTCAATTGTGAATCCAAATGACCTTCCAAGCAAATCCCTACTGCTGCTTTGTAAGGCAAAGCAGAAATATTTTTATATATCTAAGGATTGTTTCAAGACCTTTGCAATTTAAACTACAGCATTAAAAATAGGATCTTGGAGATTATATTTTAATGTAGTGATACTCAGAAAGAGTACCTGAAGGGAACTTTGAAGCTCTGAAAAGTGTCATCAAGTGTTTTCACACATTGCCTATACCGATATACGCTATTTAAATTAAAAATTAACCTATAAAAATATTGCAAGAGACGATGTCAGCACTAGTCAAGACAAAAAGATCCAAATTAGTATCCAAATGTTTTGGACAAGCATAGAAAGTTCCCTTTTGAGCACAGGAAGTTAGTCACAACAGTAACATATAGAAAACCAGTTGCAGTTTACCAACCGGATTACTGCATAATATGCACAACTACCTACCATATCAATAAGCAAGTACAGTAAGATGAAGACTTGATTAAAAAAATAAACTGCCATTATTTTATCAGGAACAGAGTTTAATGACAATGTGTTAGTGCATACACTCAGCTTGTAAATATTGAGTTACAAGACAGCACGCAGAATGACAAAACTTCACATTAACATTTTCAGGTTTCATGAAGAAATTCTCGGTATTTCCACAAAAATTTACAAATGCATGATAATAACAATAAACCTAAATATAGCACCCCAGGCAAAGCCCAGAAAGAACTCTGTACTGTTTTTCAATTGTCCCAGCAGCTTTAACAAAATTCCTAACAAAATAAATAGACATAATAAATGATAACAACGAATAGGGATATTGTCCTGAAGTAGAAAGAAGGTTCCTGTTACTGAATATGAATTATATATACTTAATTAAAAGCATGCCAGAAGAAATTATCTAATTAATTCAATGGATAGAGATATATATTTAAGAAAGGTCAGTTCATAATAATCTCATTAATGCTGAATATTATTGAAAATAGTTTACTGCAGACCTGTTTATGGAACTGAAAGTAACTTCTTACAGATAGAATGTAGTACGATCAGTACTACAGATACAGACAGTACAGATAGATTTTTCGTCTGTAATTACATCTACACAACAGGCTGGATTATCTAAGAAGCCATAAGCCTGGAAATAGTGATGTGAAAGTTGCAGAGCTCCAAAAGTGTTTTCAGGATAAGCTGCAGAATTGAGAATTCCAGGCTTCTCACTTTGCTGTCTGTTTAACAGCCTGCCACAGAGCAGTTCTCAAGGCTAAACTGGATACTACAGCTCACAGCAAGACTGTCATGCAGTTAGTAAGCTCCCGGGAAGCTGGAGAGCTGGAAAGCACATTTTATATAGAATGGGGATATTTTAGTGTTTTCCAAACAAATGCCGCCACCTGGTGTTCAGGCATATGGCTTGAATAGACCTTGAAGAAGGAAGTAAGCATGGAATGGACACAAGTAAGTCATCAGTGCCATGCCACATTCTGAGGGAATACAGTAAGGATTTAAGTGGACTAAGAAGAATAACAAAAGACTCCTGAAAGCAAGAACTTCATAGTCAGCTTTTTCTGGGATTCTCTAATTTCATCTAGATCAAGTATGAAATGTAGCAGCCTCTAACATCCTTGAATGGGATGATTATTAACAGCAACATTCATACTGATCAACTTTGTCAGAAAAGAACAAAATCACTCTTCACCACATGAACATTAAAGACCTGGTATCTCTAAAAGTTACTTCCTTATTTGATACAGATCAATATCCAGTGGAATCAGTGGTGACTGAAAGAGCAACAAGAGTTCTAAGAGTTAAAAAAAACAAGAGCTGATTTTATCAAGCTGGTGCTCTAGCCAGAGAAAACACCCCCCTTCTCTACAGTTTTGCTCTTCCATTACAGCTAATCTTAGCCTAAAGTTCTTCATGGACTACAACTAAACCATGACATGGAAGTGACAAAGAATAATCACTGGATACTGTTTATGTGTTTTGTTCTCATATATATATGTGTCATATCAAATGCACATATATATAAACATTATATATAAACTTGAAGACCATCATTTACTGAGGGATCAACCTTCTCTTATCTTGCCAATTTAATTTTCCAGACTTCCACTTCCACATGTATATTCAAATGTAAGCTTTCAATAAAAATTGTGGATAAAAATACTCTCTAATACTCTTCAATTTCATTGAAGTTGAATTTGATTTCTGGTTGCATCTAGTTGCATAATTTGGTAGAACAAAGAATGTAGCTCCCACATTTCTCATTGGGAAGTGTAGAATCATAGAATCATTTGGATTGGAAGGGACTTTTTAAAAGCTTGTTTAGTACAATTCTCCTACAATGTGCAGGGCCATCTTCAACCAGATAAGACTGCTCAGAGCTCAGTACTACTTGACCTTGAACATCCCTTGCCCCAGGGATGGGGCATCCATCACCTACCTCTTTGCCCACACAGCAGGTAGGAAGTTTATGCTTAAATAATGCATAAAGGACAAGAATATACATTAGATGAGTTAAATTCATACTGATACAAGTGAAGTGAAGAACATGCAGTAACACTAATAGCCTCAGTGTAGACAGTAACTTCCAATGATTTTTTACCAACATGTGTTTTATAAAACAATCCAAGCAGTGCTGAACATACGGTAGCATCTGTGAAAGATTTTATTCCAAGTTTGTCTATTTAAGGCACGATCAAAAGGAAACAACACCCTGCTGCAGACATGGATTTATGAACTATCCTCACAACAGTAAAGGCTAAAATGAGAAAACTAATTGAACTCATCCACCCACCTCCCCACCTCCAACCATATAATCAATTTCCCAACACTGAAGTTTTTAACAAACAGTTTTTACCAGGGTCTTAAGGAACTCCAGCAGTTCTCCATGGTCTGTAGAAGAAGGTCTGAGAGAACTAAAATTGCAGCTATTTAGCCACTGAATGCAGTCAGTTGTGCTTTGTAGTACTTCATCAGTACATATTTCATTTATGTCCGATTGCAGGTCCTTAAGACACTTTTCTATACTAAAAAAAAAAAAAAAAAAAAAAAAAAAAAAAAAGAAAAAAATCACAGGATTTTTCTACATTATTTGGAGACAAAAGTATTTTATATATGCCATATTTTAAAAAGAAAAACTACTTAAAACTAAGGTAACTTTAATCCTTCTTATTCACAGATTAAGCTACCCTCACAAAATAAGACCTGAATTTTCAGAATTAACAATTAACATTTAAGTACTGTTGAGATAGAGCTAAAAAAACTTTCCTTCAGGCCAGACTGTACCATCCTCAGCCAGAGTATGTATGACTTCACTTTCAAACAATCTTATTCATTTTAATAAAGTAGTTAATGAACAAGACATTAGCCAACCTAATATCTGGTCCTTGGTGCTTAATTAGCTAAAGCAAAGACTACTAACTGAACCAATTACTGCATTCAAAGGTGAATGTGTCATTTTGCTCCTTTAGCAATCAGCAGTTGTTTTATAAAACATAAGATATACTAACAACTTCTAAAAGATCCACTGACATCACAGAAAATGTTGAAAATAATTTCAGAGCCAGTTGTGCTGAGAAAGCAGATATTTTCTTTCTTGTTTTGTCATTACAATATTTGAAAGAAAACAGACTTTGTTTTCAAGGAGCAGATCCACTCCTTAACATTCATCTAGAATCATAACTCTTTATGAAACCAGATGTGTCGGTTAGGTTTTTACAGTGATTTCATTTGCAAAGATCACAAAAACAATTGAACATCCACAATTATTTTATTTCTACTTGCATGGACACTTAAGTCAAAACAAAACAAAACAAAAAAATCCAATTTCTACTTCGTTTCTACTTTTCCTTTTTTTTTTTTTCAAAAGCAATGCTTAATATTTTTTACAGTTTCAGTTAGAAAAAAAGAATTTAGATCCTGGCAAAACTGGGGTTAATAGCCCAGGCATTAATTTCAATCCTAAACTTGATGAAAGATTGGCAAGTATCTTTTTAGTTAGTGAAACCTGTTCTCAGGACTATGAAACTAAATGCCCTCTTCATATACCTTGACTCCTGGGACAGTATCAAAGGCTCTTATTGTGGTGTGCTGATATATCTCAAACATACCCAAATGGATTACAGCATTGTGCAATATAAAAGACACTATTATTGTTAAATCTGTGCCAATGTACTACTATTATGAGTGAATTTTTACACTTATCTTTGACATATGAATCTGTGAGCAAGTTAACAAACTCCAAGCTTGAATAAGTTACAGCCTTCTCAAGATCAGACATTGGTAACTGGTCTCAATACTGATAAGGGGATTAAAAGGATAGATTTCAGTGCCACTGCCCTGATCCTTACCTCCCCCACAAGTATAAATCATGATAACTATGTTCATTTTATTTAATCCTTTTATCCTCCCAAAACAAACATTTAATTAGGACTAAAGCTGTTTTTGATTGAATAAACATATTTTCATCCTGTTTATTTACAGCATACAGAATACTGTAGGTAAACAGCATTTCAAAACCACCACTGCATCTTGCTAAGAATTTTGTCAACACTCAGTATACAAGAACATGGTTAATTATGGTTACTTACTCCTTTACATGAATTACATTAATTAAATATTTAGGAATTTGGTTACCTTTTTTTTTTTAAAAAAAAGAAAAAAAAGTGTATTATATGAGTTTAGAAAGCAAGCATTTTAAGTAAAAAAATACTTCTATTAAATATGATTAAAATTATTCTCACCATCTAGGCTGGTATCAAAAACTTTATAATTTCATACCAGTGTAGATGGAATGAGTCTTTGATTTCTTGGTTTAGAAAAGAAATTTCCTAAAGTTTAGGAAACTGCAAACAAAAATGTAATTTTGATGTGAAAAATATATTGAATGTATTTAATTTTCTTAAAAGTACAATTTTTTAAAAGCTATATAAAGTGCTAGATTCCTTTTTTCCCAGTAATATTTTTTCATTAAGTGCAAATGTATTTTTTTTAAGTTCAGAGGAGCAAATTAGCTCTTTCTTTGAACATACTGAGGCATTAACCCAGATGATGTCAACTGACATGATATACATACTACGGACATGCAAATTTAATGACCCAAATAAATTTTTTGTCCACAGATGACTCAACCTTTTTTTTGAACCTGTGGAACTCTTCAGACACAAAGAGAAAAAAAACAGTCACCAAACTACTAAGGAAGGAGTGGAATGTAAAAACTCAAAGAAAAAACATAACCTTCACTGTAGCAAAGAAACCTAATAGTTATGCTTGTAATTTTTTTTTAATTGACTGATTTTTCAAGAAACAAATATTTAGTCCCACACAAGTAGTACCTGAGCCTTTGTGGGCACATATTTTTTGTGGCTACTACTCCTAGCATACCATTAAGCAGGTGAAAATGATGTGACTGAAATAGCTTCTCCTTCTTACAGGTGAGAGTGCCTGCAATTCTTTAACAAACAAAAGCAAAGTTGTGTTATATTATCTGTGTCCACATTGGAGTGCTTTTCTGGAGAAACATTTGGTAAGTACCCACACTGCAGAGAGACAATCTCAATGTAAAAACTCTTAGGTGCTCTTATTTATTAAGTTAATGATAGTTTTTACAAACAACCTAATCATCTGGAGAGAATGCTTTTTAAGTGGCTTTATCAATGGACAAACAGTATAAAAAGTACTGTAATGGAACTGATAGTGTAAGCACTATCATACTATCATACAAGGTCAACCCAACATTATTTTGAAACGTATGGTATCAGAATAAGGGTTGGCCTCTCCATATATCATTTTCCATTGCCTAAGATTACTGTGAGTAATTTGAATTATGATCTTCTAACTCCTTTCAATTTCTAACAAGCACATTTCAATTTATTTCATCTAGCATAAGGAGCAGCCATAAAATGGCAATGACACTGGTTAAATTAAACTGCTAAGCTACAAAGTGAAATTATCTTTTAACCTCATGTTCCTTATTCTTAAAATCCTCACATTGATGGAAACATAGCTTCAGAACCAGTTTACAGGTCTTTTATTCAGAACAGACTGTTTCAAAATACATGAGATCATTGTTTTCACTGCTGTTAAAGATGCAAGGAGTGTTAGAAAACTGCTGTTATTACTCATTAAAAAGCTTGACTGCTAGAGGTATAGGACATTCATACAAAAAAACAAGTCTGATAATTTGGAAGTCTGTGTAGCAGAGGACCTGCTGTGAGCAGTAAAAAAAATTTGCAGAAAGACTTTTAGCAGTGTAATTCACACAGACATTTTCATCGTTAAACTTTCTCTTGATCTTGAACCCAAAGATGTAAACCAAAGACACAGCACTTGGTGAAAGGACTTTGAAAACTACTGCATACCTCTAATTTAGTTCCTTACAAAACATATCCACTTGTAACTGTAAAGTAACTGTATCATTGAAACCAGAAGAAATAGAATGGTGATGGCTTTGCTACACTTTAGCAAGACAAAGTTACTCAACAGCTTAACCACATAAGAACAGTCACTTCCAACTGAACCACTGCCCACCCACCTTTAATTTCCATTCTTGTTTTAAAGGCTCGAGATATTTCTGTCACAAGATGCAAGCTTTTCCTTGGTAAGTTATTTCAGAAGACAGGCAGTGAAACATGAGTTTTTCAACTCCATTAACTAAAACATGACAGTGACAAATAAGGGTTCAAACCCCATCATATCATATATGCTCGCATGAAATGAAATGGGATACTTTACAGGGCAGTCAAAGATTTGATTACAGCTTCTGCAGATGTAGATGACAGCTAATTAACCACCTAAGGTACTGACACAGTGATAATTACTGAATATTTGTATAAATAAATCGTGTGCCAATAAACAGCCAATTTCTGAGCAACTGTGCTGCCCAGCTAGCAAGTTGCTATGGAACAACTAACCCAGACTCGGTGATTACGCACAAAGACAACACAGGAAAAAAAATACATTCCTTTCTCAGTTTGTTTACTTATTCCTAGCAATTGGTCCAGTAAAGTGATTAAACTAGCCAACTACTATTCTGACAAAGTTTTTAATAACATCAAATTCCCAGGTAAACACTAAAGTAATGCATTTGTACAGCGAGCCAGCTACATTCACCCAAAAGAGTAAAATTATTTTTCAAAGCTGTGATAAATATTAGGTCTGAGTAAAACTGATAAAATAATAATGTCTTTTCCTCTATAATCAGATCAAATTTTGAAATTCTCCCAAATACTCAACCACTCTTGGGATTTTGGTTGAAGAAGAAAAGATTTTGATAAATCTCTTGACTAACAGGAATATGAGGCAAAACTGCTTCCTGAAAATTCCTGAGCAGAACAAGCAAAGATTTTCTTGAAAATAAGAAAGATAACTCCTGCAGCACATCTCAGTTTAAAAACACATAAGCCCTTTTACACATCAGTTCTAATACAGGAAAATGGAATGAGATAGCTTGACTTAATATGCTGTTTGAAAGTCCTCCATCCCTTTGTTTTGATATTGGCAAGCATTTCTTGGCAAATCAGCAAAGTTATGATCAACAGCTGGACCATATGATATTAACATCCTTACTGAGACACCTTCCAGATCTACAATTCACAAGGTAAAGATCTTGTTAGTTCTCAAATAATTATCACAATTTATATCAAATGGTGATGGGAAAAGATGCAATGCTATAAGCGCTTACTAGCACTGACCTCATTGCAGCCCTTCAAAACAGACCTTCAAAATCCTTATGATTAAACTACTGTTAATTAGGTCAGGTTGACGTCTGTCATGGTTTGACACTGGTCAACATGCCAGGCACCCATGAAAACCAGAACAAAGGGCTCATGAGTTAAGGATTGGGAGAAAACACTCTAAGGGCAAAACAGGATCAAACTTAAAGGCATGAAGTAAACTTGTTATTAACAGAGTCAGAAGAGGATAATGAGGAGTAAAATCAGATTTTAAAACACCTTTTCCATCCCCAGCCGATCTCTCCTTCCTACTGAGAGCACAGGGAGGCAGGGCATGTGGGTGTTTGGTCAGTTTGTCACTTGAAATACTTCTTGAAATACTTCAGTTTGCTTTTAGGGAGAGGAGTCTCTATGCTATGGGGTCCTTCCCATGGGAAACAGTTCTCTGTGAACTTCTCCAGTGTGACTCCAATTTCACAAGCAGCAGTCCTGCCCAACCTCCTGCTGTAACGTGAGTCCCTCCCACGGGCAAAACAATCTTCCCAAAACTGCTTTGGCATGAGTCACTAGTTCATGGGGTGTAGTTCTTTAAGGATAAGCTGCTCTAGTTTGGAAGCAAGGACCCTCTTTTCTCTGTCTCTGGAAACAAGGGCCCTCTCTGTCTTCACGTCTCCCATTGGATTACAGCTTTTTTTAGCATCCACCCACTCCAGCATGATCACTTTTCCCATAGGCTGCAACTGGATTTCTGCATCCCCCCACGGACTTCATGGATTACATGGAGATAGTTTGTTTTATTATAGTCCTCCCCACAGCTTGCAGAGAAATATCAACTCCAATGCTTGGAGCACCTCCTCTCCCTCTTTCCTTTCACTGATCTCAGCATCGCCATGTTGTCTGTTTCCACATGTCCTCACTTCCCCCTCTTTCTCTGACTAGAAAAAAAAAATGCTGCTCTTAAGTATCTTTGCCAACAAATTCTTGCTTTTTAAAGATATCTGCAGGATCTTGCAGCGCTGAGAAGTTGATTTTGTCTCCGTTCTGTGTGGGGGAATCACTTTCCATGTTTCCGCTGCCGGCACCATGCAGGTGGTGCAGCTGCCGTGGTGCTGGGACCATTCAATGCCACTCTTCATGTGGGACACTGGGGAGGAGAAGCTGCTGTTGCTACCCCTGCCCTTCTGCCTGCAGCACGGCTGGTAGAGGTAGCCAGGCAAGCAGAGCTCGCCACAGGTTGTGCTGAAATGGTGGCGGCCACGGCAGCAGCCACATGGCTGCACCTGCAGCGCCCAGACAGTCCCGGCGGTGGTGCCTCTCCACCCCTGAGAAAAAGCTGCTCCTGTGAGGATTTTCTTCTTAAATGTGTTATCACACAGGCATTGACAACTTCTCTAATTGAGCCAGCAGCATATCCATCTTCAGAGCCATAAAAGACTGGGTCTGTTGGACATTATGGAAGCATCTAGAAGCTTCTCACAGAAAGCACCTCTGTGGCTCTCCCACCCGCCCCAGAAAAACCAGGCTGTGTTAAACCAACACAAAGTTTATCAGATTGCAGTCAGATCAGGCTTTTGTGAAAAGCCTCACAAATTTATAGTCTCCAGGATGATGCAGAGATAAAATATGAAATAATTGTGTTAAATTCTAAGCAATTGTTCTGTTGATGAAGACATAGAATATCTCCTACTGTCCTACAGTCTCATAAAATCTTGTTCCTTTATCACAACTAAAAGGCAGCACTCACTGAAGAAAAAACTGAATACAGACATAAAAATCAAGTGTTGAACACACCTCATGCTTAGCAATCACTTCAAGTTATGAACTATAGGCTCGGTTTCAAGCTCTGTACTGTATTTCCTGCTTAGAAGTATTAAATATAAGCTGCAAGTTTAGTTCTGTGAATTGCTAACAAGTGAAATGCTAGTAATTCTTAAACAACCAATTTGGAAAAATAATCCAAATACTCAGTTTTGATGAGCAGTAAAAGTCAAAGTAACTGTGAAAGGAAAGAATGAAGACAAAAGGCCAACCTGATGAATACAACTCCACACTTGAGAATAACCTTGAGACTACCCTTGTACTCAAAACTGGCCAGCAGTGATGATCGTTTTGAGAGTTCATATTCACCTGCTTCTATAAATTGCTCTAAAAATAAACTTAACATTCAAGTGTAATAAGAGTTCCATTACATAACAGTGAATGTATGAACCACTTACTATATTAAAATTTGCATATAACACAATTACACACAGATGGCGTTTTTTGTTGTTGTTACAGCAAATAGAATTGGTACAGTACAAAAATACTGAAGGCAATTCAATAAAAACATATCTGATTTGTCATGTCACACAATTTTATAAAACCTACTCAGTTAGAAGGCAATAAATGAGCAGTCAAATGATTTTTACACTCTTGCCTCATAATTTTTTACACAATGTTTTATTTTTAAATATATATATATGAATGTATACTACTATGCTCATTCTCTGTGGCCTAATAAAAGCATAAATCTATCTGATGAAAAACTGATTGTATTTTAATTGTATCACTGTATCACATAGAGCTGCTCTTATCATAGCACTTACAAAGATCAATGGTAACTTGAAAATTATTTCATTCCATGCCACCTCTAATATATTTGGAATAAAAGGACTCTTTTTAATTTAAAAGTCGCATCAGGTGCTGTCCATCTTATTTTAAATTCTTTCAATTTCTGAAACTGACACAGTACAGGAGCAAAATAGCACCTGGTTACAGAGCTACTTCCTGTCTTTCCTTGTGAAAATAAGGTTAAAGCTAGCTTAGGTGTCAATTCAGCAGAAATTTTTCCTGACCTGCATTGCTACTAATCCAAATTCCAGCTCTCCTTTAATAAAATATACAGTAAAAAAAAAAAAAAAACTTACAGTAAAATTTCCTTCTAATTTGTAAGACTAGATAGGTAAAACAGTGACAATCAGCCTCTTTCAAGACATACAAACACTTCCACTGTGATGATGCTAATGTAAAATGTAACATAAAATGCTAAGTGGCTATAAAGTACCACTTAAAAGAATGAACAGCTGGCTTCCTTTCCCATAGTCAGATGTTTTCTCAACAAGCAGCATGCATATTTCACACATTAAAACAAGAAACAGTAGTGAAGCATTCGTTCTAAAGGTTCATTTTGAGAATAATCTTCCTAACTCTCAGGATATCTCTGAAGAATGACAACAAAATCACTTTTATTTGGTAGTTGAAGAGGTGACAACAGTTATGCTAAAAAATGTTGATGCTGTTTTTTCCAGTTATACAATACCATAGACACACGAAACTTTATTACCTGTGTAATTAATTATGTTATGACATAAACTAATCTCTAAGTATCTACATTTTGCTCATGTCAACAGCTGGAAAACTCTAACATGAAATTGTATTATGCAGTGGTCCATAACAGCATATTGACCAGATCTTCACTACCATTGCTACCGTGGGATTATTAATATTGCAAATACTTTAGTAAACACTAAGTTTTTAAATGAAAATGGGAGGTAAGACTAATAGAAATATCCCCCCCAAAAAAAAACTCTTAACCCAGCATAACCTTATAACCTTGACAATAACTGAGAAATTATCTAAGTCAGTTTTCAGCGAGGTATGGCAATGGTTTATTTCCATCCTTCCGGAAGCTGTTTGGGAGCAAAGACCGCTGACAAACGTGGGCTATATTAAAATGATACAATCTTAAAACAGATGTCATGATGGATGTTCTTTGAAATCCTACTTTAAGATGCATTGTTCATACTTGAAGATGCTCACAAAGGTGAGCATTTTCAAAATTTAATATAAAATCCTACCATATCTCTGACTGTACACTACTTTTTTTAAATCTACAAAAATTTTGTTTGCTTAAGAGCATCTTTTGCTGATGAAAGTATTACAAAGATACGAAAGAGTTAAGCCACAAATAAGGCACAGAACCCTGAGCTGATTATTTTGTATTGATGCAAAAAAATGTGCATCAACAACAAACTTTTTTAGTACTCCACTCTTTCTGTAACACTGATTTTTGGAAATCAGTGTGTTACAAAGAAGCGGACAAAGAAATATATTATAAATTGTAGAAAGAAAATGTGCAATTGCAGCACAAGAGTTTTAACTGAAATTGTAAAACAATGGATTGTATAAGAAAAAAATATACATATATTAACTGAATTAATTTTTCTACTTTCATTAGAAATGCTTAAACAACATACTGAGTTTGGTTTTTGTCAAATTCTGTAGTTCTTTTAGTCAATAAAAATTTATCTCATTAGTAGGAAATTCTATCTCATAGTAATAGAAAATACAGCTGTCATGGGAATTCACATTTTCTTCCTTCACTATCACACCTACTTCAACAGAACGTAAGGTTAAGATGATACAATTGTTAAAAATACCATAGAAAGAAAGACTACAGCACAATAATTATACAGCATTAAAATTTTGTTAAATGCTTGAGCGGTTAAAATAAAATTACTGCTGAAATATTTATCAGAATTTTAACCTACTACTAGAAAAGAAAGGTAAGTTAAACCACATTTCTTCCCAAATGCAATGACTTTCTCTAGTATTTTGCATACAAATAAAATACTCTTTACCTGTAAGAGTTCTTCTTTATTTTTTCATCAAGATCACTAAGGATTTGTCGGAATTCCAATTCTCCAGGGAGAACATTTAACAAACAGTCTAAATTGGAAGAATCAAAAGAATACTCTCCTCCCCATTCCATTTTTAGAATCTGTAAAACAAATACAGCAAAATGGTTAAAAAATGGAAAGATGTTGACTAGAAGTACCAAAGTACACAACATCTTGTTCTTTGGAGATATTAGATTATATAATAATATAAATATTAGATTATTATGCTTCTGCATAGACTGCTACAGAGGGAAACCAGGAACACGAGTGTTGAGATAAGTTTCATAGTATCTTGCACTTCTTTAGTTTAAAGAATGCAGTTCTTTTACCTTAACCACAGTAGTAGCTCTTTTTTTTAAGATTTAGAAAGAAAATTCTCGCTATGGAATGGAAACTAAAAACAAACATATTACAGGGTCAACTTATTTTCTGTATACTTATAATTTCTGCCCAAGGAGTAACTGTTTTCTGGAAATTCAGCACATCATTGCAAATACATGCAAACATAACAAGCCAGACTAAACCAAGCTTCGTCTTGCTATGTACTCATTTTACTAAACAGAGGTCAAATCCAACAGCCTATTCAAACTAATACAGTACCTTTGTGTCTTTATATCAGAACCAAAGCATTAGCAGGTTTTTTTTTTTTCCTGTTTTCTATTTTTTTCTGCATACTCTTGTGGAGAAATAATGAAATTTATTTTAACATCAGTGATGACTTACTACCAAAATTAAGGCAGAATATGATATAAAAACTGGAACCTTCTTAATAATCAGTATATCTCATGTCTGCTATTTAGTATGTCATATTTAATACTATCCATATTGCAGCAACAACATGAGAAAAAAACTTAATATTCATATTGTTAGGGCCTTAACCTGCCAATTGCTCGATGCTCTCCTCGGAATTTCTGGGTTGATAGACAGTACCCAGCAGGGGTCAAGGGTGGGGAAAAGAAAAGGTGATTGACACCCCACCTGGGGAAGGAAATTTCAGGGAGAAACCAGGGGAAACTGAGGCAAGTCATGACATCACACCGCAACATCATATGCACACAGTTTGGCACCAAAATATAATAAACACATTATTTTTCTGGCAAGCAATATTCTTTTACAAAGCAGCTACAGTATTGGTTGTTATCTAGAGGCACTACAAAAATAGACTGAATTTTTCTAAGTGAACTGTCTGCAAAACACATGTTTAAAAAGAACATCAGATATTTAATATGCAAGGTCAAGATGATTGGTTTTGGTCATACGTGTAGACTTAAAAGTAGCAAAAAGGCACATTTCTGGTTTTGATCTTCCAAAGAAACATTCAAAAAAACATGGAAGTTGTCTAAAGCATAATATCTTGCACATCTCAATTAACATCACACCAATACAAAATATTTAATGGATAAAGTGTTTTCTTAAATTCTCAGAAGCTACAGAATACCTCTTTGCAAATAACAATTCAAACACAACATTTTGGGATGTAGCTGAAACTCAATCACTTGCTGGTGGAAAAGCCTGGATGTAAATCAAATACATCTCTTAAAGCATTAAGGAAATGTCACTCTTTTAATATAAGCTTAGCAGATGTTACTACAATTAAAAACACTAATTAAAAGTCAAATGAAAACCATTAAACAGCACTTTGCAGAACTGAGATAAAAGGAATACTGAAAAACAGCTCTTTCTTCAAGTATGATACTACTTACAATAGACTCGGTCACGCACACCCTTTTCTCTTATAAAGGTTTACACAGAATGTAATTTTAACTCCATTCAATACCTACAACTCAAACCCATCTTTTATTCAACTGTCTTGTAGAACAATGATTGGTGTAAAATGAACTGTATAATAGATTAATAGATAGATAGATAGATAGATAGATAGACAGATAGATAGATAGACAGATAGATATACTGCAAAAATACTAACAGTTTGGAATGAGTTACAGTTTTCATAAAATAGCTGCACAACCAAAATTATGTATTTATACTTAATCCTAACTCTTTAAAGCCAAAATAAGCTTATGCTCCTTGGAAAAAATATCAGTACACTTTACAGACTACTAACTGTTTGAAAAATTCATCAAATGAAAAAAAATCACCTTGTAAACATGACAGCCTAGTTTTCATGCCTGCATTCCTGTAAGACTTCTATGTCATACTTCATTGGTTCACTTGTCAAAACAAAGCAATTATTCCTTTCAGTCTTGGTTTATGGAAGAAAAGCAACACTTGATTATTCAGTTTTTAAATACTATTTTACGGCTTATACTAATTTCTTCTGAAAATCTAAACCCAAAAATGTTTCAAAAGGAAAAAATAAGAGCATCAAGACATAAATTAGCAAAAATGAGAAGAAATTTTACTGTTATTTAGCATAACCAGAGCCAGGACCTTCAGTGCACCAAAAGACTCTAACTGATGATCTGACTCTAAGCAGAACTACACCACCAGCCTGCTGCTTGCCCTCCTTGTCTCCCCTGGGGGCAGCAGGATGGGCATCAGCTAGCAAGGGCCTTCCCCTGCCATTTAGGATTTTCCCTGCCTCTCCTGTTAATCCAAAGAGCAGACAGTTGCTGATGCCCTCAAAGACCTAGTGACAGCCCTCCTCTGATGGCAAAACCCTCAATGCTTGTTTTTTAAGAAAGAAATCCATTTCTTTCTTAAAAGAGAAATGGGGGAAGAACTTAATTTGGAAAATCTGAATTCTGTCAAAGTATTTCAGACATTAATAACTCTTTTTTTTGTAAAGGAGATTAATTTAAGCTTTGTTATTAAGCAGCATAAAAACATCATTCTATCATATTTCAATTTACTATTATGATGAACTATTGTATGTTTTAAGAAAAATGGTCTTAGAGAACTTGTTTCAGGTGCAGTCTCTACATCACTATCTTAATAGACCTACTTATTTTCAAAACATATTAGAGGACTGTTCATCAACATTAAAATGACATAGCTGTAAATCTTTTCAATAGCTACTCAAGAAACTTAACCAATGTACAGTTTAGCTTAAAAAGAAATATTTTTCAGGTCTCTTATTTTAAGCCACAATATCAATGAAATTTAACATCACCGTAATAATTTCCCACTTCTAACAAGTGTAAATTATGAAACTTTTTTACCAAAAATCATTAGGCCTATTAAAAAAAAAAAAAAAAAAAACAAAACAAAAAAAAAAAACCCTACACAACACTCAAGTTAATACAACAGATAATTCTTGCTTTTAAAGCTTACAGGGTTTACCATTGAAAAGCACTTTTTGTGTGTGTGTGTGTTTTCTTTTTCAGTGTCAATAAAATGGAAGAAATCTCCTATAAAAATTATATTTAGTTCAAATTGGGTATTTTTTCATTCTGTTTAAACAATTAAATTAAACATAATTGTAAAAGCCTTCCAGTACAAACATACATGTGAAATTCCATGGTCAATTTGTAATGTTTATATTTACTATAATAAGCCTTTGCTCTCAGACATACAGTTTGTAAAAGCGGCACTTAGCTAAATCTTGAACAGAATTTTTTGAGCACATCTGTTGTATACGCACATCTCAATGTACCCATAACTTGGAAAAAGGGATATGTTAAACTGCTGCACTGAAAGTATAGAGAACTGCCAAATCTTTGAAGCTTTTTTTCTGTTACTGCTTCTTATCTTACAGGAGGTATCTCTTTATTGCCCTAACATCCTTGCAAAACTAAAAGTGAATGAGAGAATTGACAAGATTTTTCATCACTCAGCTTATGCTTTCAATGAGACCTTAACAATTATTTCCTTTATGTAGCTTTAGTTGCATAACTGTTTCCAGCCACTTTACAGCACAGAAGATGTCATCTGCAATCACACAGCAGGCAGCAAGAGTGATGGCAGTGGCCTGAGATACTACAATTCAATGTGAAATTCCTATTGTTCTGTACATTTAAATAGTCTGAATATTTAAAATTATTTTGAAAACCACATAGAGCATACAAAAGAAATCCATTTAAAACCTGCAATTTCTTGAGCTTTACTCTGACATGGTAAAAGCTTTTTACCCAATTTTCTGTGGCAAAAATCCTTTAAAATTGTTTACTGTTTAGAATAGACTTGTAAAAGAAAAAGAAAATTAAAAATTCTCTCTATAAAAGAACATGACTCATTTCTGTTCCTGCTCATATGTACTGAAGATCTCCATTTAAATTTTCCAAATTGCCTTTCACCTATTTTGCACACTTTGCTGAAGCACACACAACATTTACAAAAAGAATATCCTATTGTTCCAGTAAAAAAAGACATTTAATGCAAAAAAAAAAAAAAAACTCAACAAAACAGAGCCACCAGTCCACCAGTCTTCATTATGGTTTTATTTACTACATATTTTGAATGCCACAAAACTTTGAAACAAGTTTACTAAAAACATCTTGAAATGTTCCCCCTGCAAAGTTTCCACATTTCCTCTTGTCATAAACTTACACTTAAATGTTAATTTTATATTTGTAAATTATTATCCACCACACACTTTGCCTTTATAATTTTTAAAGATGAATTTTAAGTATCTATAATTAAATACTCATTTTTAACCCTTTTGAATACAGTTTTCTCCCAAATTCTACCATAAGAGTCACCAAATAAGAGAATGGGAATAAAATATAACTAAAGAAACAGAGTCCTCACTGTGGACGCAAGAGAAAGCTATGCCTTCCACCTAAAGCTGTAATATCAGAATGCAGTGCTGTGATCTAAGGCAGCTATATCAGAGCTTAAATCATAATATTGTCAAAAAGGACTGTGAAAATGCACATTTCTGACAAGTAGTATATGCTACTATTTTTAATATCTGCAGTTGTTTCAAACTATGTAGCTTAGGCCTGTATTGTAGGCATATGTACATGCCAGAATTTATAACTAAAATCCGTGAGTTCTCCCTATTGTCTCTCCCCAATTATTCGAGCCACAGAAAGTGAAATGCTTAGGATAGAAAGGAATCAGCACTGCTTTTTAAGATTTGCTGCTACTTGGGACTGGTAAAAAATGTTCAAAGACACTGAAAGAGTTCTCATTTACATAAACTTAATCAAACACTATTGGTGTGACACTATTGTAAAGGCAGCGACTTCAA